ACGGGAGGAGAGGCAGGGAGAGGGCCATCACCGAGGCTGTGGGCGACGACACGTGCACCTGTCTCGTTTTCCAGACGGTCCGATGCGGCGTGGGGCGGCCCTGGACGCCCGTAAAAAAGCGCAGCCCCCACCTCTCCAGAGTTAGAACTTGTTCTCGTCTCCGGTTCACTGGCTTCTCGAAAGCCCTGCTCTGGTTCGCGCAGGTTTTTCTCAGCAACAGCAGATGACTTTAAAAACGTAATGTTTGATCAAAGGAGCCATTTGACACACGGGAAGCACGGAAGACAACAGATACTGCCGTTGTCGGGTTCTAAAGCAAGTCTTGGGGTCGGGCAGATCGTGGCCACTTGAATGGATCCGCAGTATCAATAGCCCATCGAGGACGGGCGTGGGTAGCAGCGTGAGCCCTTCGATTTCCTCCCGACGGAGGAGCCGCTGCAGCCAGTCAGGGGAGGAGGGTTATCCCAGCGGTGCTTCCAACGAAGATTAAGTCGGTATCGGCGACTGTGGGGAGAGGCAGAGAGACCAGCTTTAAATCTAGGGCAGCTGTGGGGAGGGGAAGATAAACGTCTGAGACATTCTGAAGAATAAAGTGGGGAGTTGGGGACTCGGTGTCCGGGAGGAGGAGGGGGAAATTCCCCATCAGGACAAACAGTGTTTTCGGCTGAGTGAGGCTGAAGCGCTGATCTCCGGGGCATTGGTCCGTAAGCCCACTGCTTAGGAAACTTGAAAGGACATTTTAAAATACACCACAAAGGCTAAAACAGCAAGTCTAGGCAAAATAAAAAGAAATGCAATCACAATGAAAGACAACAAAAAGACGAGCATCGCATCAAATCAGAGCATCCGATGGGTGACGGAGCGGAGGGTGGCTAAGCGCCTGGGGGAGCTGGTCTTTTCCAGCCAGAGTCCCTCGGGAGGGGCTCCTGGGGCACAGAGAGAAAGAAAGAAAGACCGCGCTGTGTTTCCAGGCGGCAGCTGGGAGGCCCGGGCCGCAGGGCGAGGGGCACGGAGTTGGTGTTCTCTTCAGATTTCCCGGAGCCCGTCGCGTTGCCGAGGCACAGAGCTAGTGAGAGACAAGGGCGCTCACACGGAAGAGCTGGCCAGGGCTGGTCCACTGCCGAGGCCAGCACGGCTCCGCGGAGCCCCAGAGCGGCTCACACGCAGGGACTGTGCCAGGGGCGTCGGTTCGGTGCCGCGGCCTCTCTCCGACCCCGAGCCCCTGGTGTGGCAGAGGGCAGTTGGAGGTTGGCCGGTGCGTTGTGTTTCTGACTGTGTGCAGGTCAAGGAGAGGTCACCTGGCATTTCCGGAGGTACCGGGAAGCCCCCCTCCACCCCGTGTGCTCGCTCCCCGCCTTATCCAGAGAGCCCTGGAAACTCGGATGTCCTGGTCCACCTGGTTCCCGTGTCTCTGGACATAGGTGCTAACCTGTGAAAAAGTTTTCACCAATCCACACTGAAATGAAAAAAAAAGTGATGATGTGGGGAACTTTTTTACCTAAAGTTCTACTTATTTCTCGGAAAGAACTCACTCACCCAGAAATTCGGTCGTTTCTACCTTTGATCTGTTCGTGCGGCCTTTTTTATGATGGAGGTAACAGGTCATCATTGTAATGTGAAAACCCTGTGCTGGTCCCTGATTTTTTTTTTTTTTTTTTTGGCCTGGAGTGTAAAATCGGCGAGTCTGAGAAGCAGTCGGCGATCGACCTGTCACCTCGCCCCAGGGCCCCTCCGATGCCGCCGTCATCGGCCTGGCTGGGCCCTGGCTTTCTCCTGTACAGTGTCCCTCAGCGCCCACAGTCCCCAGGGACAAAGCCCACCCGGGGCCTCCCCGTGCTGTGTCAGGGACCCCGAGAGGACCCTCCACCTCAGCGGGGCTCGTCCACCCCCTTCCGCAGTCACTTCGGACCCTCACTTTGCGCTGCCCCAGCTGCAGTGCCGTCCATGCCCCCCCCGCCACCTGTCACAGTCCCTCGTCTACGCCAAGGCTCAGCTCGGGTCCCCAGGGGGGGGTGGCCCCTCCCTGGCTGCTCCCGCACCGCGGGCACCCAGAGGGCTCTCGCCACCCCACCGGTTTTCAGGTGAACGGCTCCTTCCCCGTCCGACTCCCGACACTCTTTGTGCCCACAGTCCCCTGGCCCTGTGACCCCATTCAGAAGCCGTCAGGTGACCGGCCAGGCGGGAGCTCTGAGGACCCTCCCGCCAGGGCAGCCAGGGCCACCAGCCTGGCCGCCCGGTGTGTGCACTTGAGCCCCGGCGGTGCCTTAACCCAGACCCAGCCGCTGCTCAGGGGGGCAAATGCAGACCCCGCAGGGCTGGACCGTGTCCCGGGGCCTCGAGGCTCCCAGCTCACCCCGGCTGTCATTGTCACGGCAGCACCTGCAAAGGTTACTCGTGTTTTTACTTCCCAAAGCACCCAAGGCTAATCCACAGGCAGCCGAGGGCTCAGCACCCTGTGCTCTACGCAGAGCGCCCGGCTCCCTGTGATGGGGGTGCTCGCCGCCCAGCAGGACAGAGGCGCCCGGTGAGCCCGTGAGCCCCGGGGAGAGAAGTGCCGTCCGCAGGGGAAAGGTGATGTTCGCTGTAGACTGAATGGGGCTGGAAAACACACACCTGCAAAAGCGTTGAGGGCAGGGAGACAGGTGAATGACGGCACTGACACGGGGCCAGCAGAGCACTGGCAGCATCGGCAGCATCCGCAGGAGCTCTCCACTGCGGCCCAAGCACAGATTCACACGAGGCTGCCAGGCCTGGCATCCGGCGTGTGAAGCGCCAGGTACGGCCCGGCCGTGAGACGCAGCCCGAGCCCGAGCAGGCCACTGGGCCCCTGTCACATCTTCATTTCCCACCTGGTACGGCGGGGACGGGCGGAGGCAGCGCTGAACTGCCTTTCACCAAGGGGCCTTCGAAAGGGTGTTCGTTTCTCCGCAACACGGTAACGTGTCTCCCATTGCACGACGAGACACAGAACGGGATGCGGGAAATATGCCGGGTTCGGATTGAATTGCCGGCGCTTCTATCAGGAATTCTGTATGAATGGACCCCATGCACGTTTGCTTCTTCGGGAGCAGTAATTTCCTCCTACAAGCAACCGCAGCAGTAAACAGCGCTGGGCTTCTCCCGTGGAAGCCCCGCCGTGGCTCGGGGCTGGTGGGGAGGAGCGAGTCCGCTGTGTTAGTCCAGCTCGACCTTTTGCGGCCCCAAACAATGAGGGCCCTTCGTGGCACCTCTTCTCTCTCTTCGTTTCTCCGTCGCGTGCTCTCTCTTCCGAGAGCCCGTTCCCGCCGCTGGCTGAGCGGCACAGCGCGTTGTCAGAGCCAGTCAGTCAGACCCGAGATCTGACCGGCACCGTCCCGCTGCCGAGTTAATGGGATCCGCTGGTCACGGGGCCCGAACAGACGTCCGTGGGTCTCCTCCCGCCTGCCCCCACCCCCAGCCCGTCTCCACCACGACATCGCCCTCGCTGAGTCTTCTCCTCCACTTCCATGACCCAGAACCTCCTTCTGACTGTTAGCCACACTGGAGACAGCTGATTTCTTCCTCTCTCGTGGCCCTCTGTCCTTGCAAAGCAAAACAGTATTGACGTACTTTTTGTCCCCCTGTATCCCCTTGCGGCCCCGTATGTATCCCTTTTATTAAGATAGTCTTCACTCTTTCCTTCCCTGGTGACTTCTGTCTCTCTCCGTGAAGACGCTCTCTCCACTAGCTCTGCGTCTGGGGTGCCGTTAGGTGGGGCTCGGCGCAGGTCTCGAGGCCGCGTGGGCCTGTCCCTAATGAAGCAGACTTCCCGTCCATCTGAAATCCGGTCATAAGTCTGCTGTGGTCCCAAGGAAGTTCCCAAGCGTTTCACCCGCAACTTGCATTCCTTTTTCTTTCTTGAAAACCACATTGTCATTTCTGAAATGTCCTCTGGTGCTACCACAAATGGGAAAGTCACTGAAAAATCAATTCTTGAATGAAGTGTTGTGTCTATAGTGCATAGTTACGATTGTGGGACAGCTTTTTAAAATTATATCTTAGCATTTTGCCCTGGCTGGTGTGGCTCAGTGGATTGAGTGCTGACCGGCAAACCAAAGGCTCACGGGTTCGATTCCCAATCCGGGCAGATGCCTGAGTTGCCGACCAGGTCCCCAGTTGGGGGTGCGTGAGAGGCGACCACACATTGATGGTTCTCTCCCTCTTTCTCCCTCCCTGCCCTTCTCTCTAAAAATAAAATCTTTTAAAAAGTAAATAAAATATATCTTAACATTTAAATATATCATATGCTAAAAAAAGTAAGTATAATAAAAAAGCAACTGATCATTAAGGGTCAGTAAATACTACATCTCATTTCAGGAAACATAGTAAATTACCATTCATAACACTACCCGTTCCTCCCACGTCACTGTGGACAAAATAGAGTATCACTCTCCCAACCAGCCTTTAAGTCCCAATTTACCCTCATAAAAGATGCCCATCACTGAGAAATACAGTCTTTAAAAGAGTTTATGTTATTAGTTTGTTAAGGACGTCTCGAGGTGCTAAAAGAGGACGTTTAAATGTGCAAGGACGTACATGCATGCACACACACTGCTTTGCACAGTCGTGTGCACGCTCGTGTGACACGGCCGTGAAGGGCAGAAGTGGGCGAAACTTTGACGTAACGGTGAGTTCAATCTCCTTCGAGGAGAATGTGGGCGAAAAGGAAGGAGTTTAGTATCAGCAAACATGTTCCCTTTGAAACAGCAAATTACACGTGCAGGAGGATTTCGGTCACACTTCAAAGAACAGTGCGCGGAGAAGCAGAGCCAGTCTGTTTACTCTTGCGACCGCCGGTGAGGTTTCTCTCTGTTAAACAGCCTTTGATGACTTCAAAGCATGTTTGAAGTCCTCAGTCTGCATAGCTCTTGCACAAAGACAAATATTCTTCCAATAGCGCGCGGCTAATGTTGCGGTGCATTGTGTTATGAGGAGAACCTACCGCTCCCTGTATAACACGGAGTCAATGCCTTTGTATTCAGCTACGACAGCGAAGGCCGCCTGACAAACGTCACCTTTCCAACGGGGGTGGTCACGAACCTTCACGGCGACATGGACAAGGCCATCACAGTGGACCTCGAGTCATCCAGCCGAGAGGAGGACGTCAGCATCACTTCCAATCTGTCCTCGATCGATTCCTTCTACACCATGGTTCAAGGTAAACCCCGAAAGCACAGTCTTAAACCGGTCGCTTTAACACAGCACGGGCACCCAGACAGAATGTGGCGCCCCCGTTTTCTAAGGTGAACTGGAGTGGGGCTGGTGAAAATAGAAACCTCTGGAGATACCTGTGGCAGAGTCTAATGTCCACAGGTAAAGTTTATTGAGTTATATACACATACTATAAAGTTATAGAATACATAAAACTATGTGTTAACCTTGAAATAGTAACTATTTTTATTCCCGCTTAGTGAAACTACTTAATTCCCACCCTTCACATACATCATCAGACCCTTTTTGATGATGTCACCCGCGCTGGTGTGGGAACCTGTGACGCGGTCGCAGGGGGGTTTGACCCCGACCCCAAACCCCATTTGTGTAACGTCTGGACTCTGCGCGTCTGCATTCTGTGGGCACACGTATCCAGTACCTCCGCGCCGGGGCCTCCTGCTGCGCTCCTGGCCTGAGGTCATCCCGGAAACGCTTGTTTCCGATGGCATTTGCAGCTGTGGGGTTGTAGCCCTAAAATTAATGGCCAAATCTGAGTTAAACTTGTTCGAATCATTGTTTTTTACAGTTTTGTCAGGGAATCTCCACAGTCATCTAAAGCTAGCAGTGCTGGAATCCAGTGATTCTCCAGGCAGCCCTCTGCTACACAAGCCTTGTAAACCGCAGCAGCATGGTTTTATAGGAAAGTGTTTTTTGTGCCAAATGCAGGATGGCTGGTTTTTTAGTCAGTGTCAGGAGGGCTATCACCTTATATTTTGAGTACAAAAGGTATAGCTGTTGACTCTCTTCAGAAGGTCTTTGATAGAAGATACAGGGAAGGGGGAGGGCCGAGGCTCCTAGAGACGGGGGGCGGCGGCGTGCAGGCCTCTGAGAGGGCACGTGCTTGGCTCTTTGCAGAACGTTTACTGCGTCGCCCCTAGAGGTTGGGCCTCCGTTTGTTTCGCCAGGCAGAGGAGAAAAAGAAATCTATGAAAGTGGAGAAGGGCTCTAAATTCCCCCAAAATTTCCCTTTAAAACAGGCAGCCAAACCCGTTACGGCATGAAATGCCAGAAATCGCAGTTGCTTTATTGTTTTCTAAGACGACGTCATTAGGCATTTTTTTTTATTTCCTCGTGGATGGGGTTCAGTCCGAGTCTCAGGAATCGGCGTCGCGTCTAACCGCGCGGCCCACGGCGGCGTGTTTAACCCGCGTCGGTGGTCGGTGTCCTCTGCCCCTCGCCCCGCAGACCAGCTGAGGAGCAGCTTCCAGATCGGCTACGACGGCTCCCTGCGCGTCATCTACGCCAGCGGCCTGGACTCGCACTACCAGACCGAGCCGCACGTGCTGGCCGGCACGGCCAACCCCACCGTCGCCAAGAGGAACATGACGCTCCCCGGGGAGAACGGCCAGAACCTGGTGGAGTGGAGATTCCGGAAAGAGCAGGCCCAAGGGAAGGTCAACGTCTTCGGTCGGAAGCTCCGGGTAAGTGTCAAGGGAGCAGGCGGCGGCCGCCGGCCAGTGCCTGCGTCGGTGTCGGGTAGAGGTCCGTCCCCGAGGGTGACCCGGGACGCGTCCCCTGCCCACCCTCACCTGTCCGAGGCCGCACCCAGTGCCGGGGGACTTCCACCCAACCGTCACGCCGTCCGGGCGTTCGTTAAAAGCCACTCGTTGAGAAAGGGGTTTTCTCAATGTATCGACAATTAAAAATAATTCTTCCCTGGGAAATTAGGAAATGGCTTGAGGCGCAATCTCAGATAGCCTGGATATCGGTGGATTCTGATTTTACTAATGTTATCTTTAAAATCTTGCACTTCTCCTTTACTCACTCAGGAGGATGGCTTCCTAACGTGGCGATGGAGGTAATTAAGGGTTGGCTTACATATTGAAAGTTTTGCAAACCGTAAAGGTGTGTACGGAGAGAGATGGGCTGGCCATTGAAAGGTGGGTTATTTCTTTGCTTGCTCCATGCTGTTCGAGCACGGTTTGGGCACCCAGGAGAGTGTCCGCATCAGGGCCCAACTGCTTCTCCTCACCGTCAATTTATGTTATTCTTGCGAGCAATGTGGCAGTATTTCCGATCACGCTGGCGGGCTTGATCTTCGTGACCTGCTCCCTGCGTTACCTTGTTGAGTGTTTGTTCCCCCCGTTCCACATGGAAGGGCCAAGTGGATCTCAGAAGCAAGCCGTGGTTTCTGACACCTGTTCCGTACTTAGTCTGAGACTACGTGGATTAAGGACTGAAACGCAGGTGACGAGAAAGCCGCCTTCAGACAGATCACTGTAAGCTCAGCCCGAGGCGTCCTCGCTCTGAGGAGGCAGACTTTAGTGTGTCAGCTGACTGCAGATAACCGCTCCTAAAATCACTTCCCTTGCCGCCAAACAACAGTACCGAAAGTCAAGGAGAGAAAACAAAATATGGAACATACCATTAATGTCTTTTTTTTTCCCCGCACCAAAAATGGTTAAATGGTTATGATAACCGTCCAACAGTATTTACCTTGACAAACCTTCAGGGTAAAAAAAAAAAAAACAGCTACTATTGACTGTCTCTGACCACGTCCGAGAAACAGGAATGGAGTAAACGAGAATCAGTAGGTCACATACGTACCGTATGCAGTTTACGGCTTATATTTGATTCCACCTCAACTGCAGGGCAGGTGGTTGGGGCCCTGAGTACGTGGTGGTCTGGAACCAATGCCAAGTGCTCCCACCCTGCCTGCACCCCAGGCTGTGCAAGCTGGGCCCCCGAGGCCCAGCCCCCCGGGGTCAGGGGCCTGGCAGGCAGGAGCTGGGGAAGCCGGAGCCGGGGGGCAGCGGGCGGGCCAGGTCGGTGAGCAGAGTGAGAAGAAACAGCAGTGGAGCACTGGAGGGAGGGCGGGACTGGGGTTGAAGGTAGAGAGACAGACAAGGAGGCAGGCTCAGCCTTGCTCCAGGTCACGGAGCTAGGGTCCCGGACTGTGGCCTCCGTCAGCTCCAGCCGCTGCCTTTTCTTCCACTGACCCCAGGGCTCAGCAGCTGCCTACATCTTCTCTGCACCCAGCACCTCCTGCTTCTTCCAGGAGCCCTGCCTCCTTGGGCCGTGGCAGCCTAGAAGCCAGTGCAAGGCTCTGTCTCACTCAGATGTCCCTGAAGCAGGCATGGTGTGCACGCGCACACACACACACACACACACACACGCATGCACACACACACCCAGAGTCTCAGTCACAGGACCAACCTCCTCAGAGGACACAAGGACACCGCTCACATAGGCGCTCCTCGTTCTGCACCCCAAAGACACAGCCCCAAACTGGACCTCAAAAACTACGGGTTCTAGACTGGCCTCCACTTTTTACTCGTAACAAAGCCTCTGGGAAAAGCAGGACATCGGGAACCCTCCTTTTCCTGGTCTGTATCATGATATCTATTTCATGCTCTAAATGAGGTGTTACCTAGATACTATCTAATGACATAGTCCTGGCAGGGAGGGCTGTATCGTGGGCACGCAAAATGCACCCTGCTCCGCCTGTGGTTCCCGCCGCTGTTTCAGAATCACGGGAGACGATGCGAAAGTGCTTTGAAAGCCAAAGGCCCGGTCGTGTGTTCCCAGCCCCGACCCGGAGCGTCTGCACCCCGTAGGCAGAGGCGGGGCATTTGGACCCACACACCCACACGGCAGGTGGCGGACGGACGGGAGGGAGCTGCTTCGGCCGCTGGTTGGAAAAGTGGCAGAAGAGGGAAAGTAGGAGGTGCTTTGCCCAGAAACTCACGACGGAATATGTTGCCCACTGTTCTTTGCGACAACCTAGGTCTTAGTATATTTTTTTTTATAACACTGCTTTTTTTAGACAAAAAGAAATGAGGAGGAGTCGAGGGAAGCAGGGAGGACTCAATCTGAAGTTGCTGGTTCTGTGTCTGATTCTAAATGAAGAAACTCCCTCAGTCTGGGGAGGAGGAGACCGGGAGGCACAGGCGTGGCGTTCGTCTCCCTCTAAGGAGCGGCGGCAACAAGGCATCTCCGAAGACACACGGTTTAGAGCGGCGTGGGCCACGCGGGCGGGGGAGCTCCAGCTGACGTGTGTGCGGATGCTCTCGCGGAGACAATGCCGGGATCACAGGGGAGGGTTTCCTCCTTTCAAGATAAGATTGGCTGTGCCAGCTCCAACGGCTAATTTCATTCCTCAGTGGATTCTGCGGGAGAAATTCTAAGGAGGAAGCGAGGACAGGAAAATCTGGTCTAAGGACCGGACCTGGAGTCTGTCTGCCACACGGGGGAGGAATGGGGACGGGGAACGGAGGAACACCGGAGGCCACCGCGGCCTCGGGAGCAGCTGAAGTGCCACCCATGGGACGCCTTCTCTCTTACCACCCACTGTGTTTCCTAGCAGGAAGTCCCGTCTTGTTTTAAGGTATTGTCCTCAGTTGAGCCATGTGCCTGACACAGGGCAGATACTTGGACACTTATTCGATGAATGGGAGACTGAGGAAAAGCCAAGCTTATAACATGAGTTATTTATTTCACTGTGTCTGGGTCTTCCTAAAGAAGGGGGTGGGGTCTGTGTGGAGCACATCCTTGCAAACGCTGGACCACTGTAAACCAACCTAGCACTAGCCAGGAGACGGCACAGACATAATGGATATAACACCAGACCCAGAAGCCTCAAATGTTTAAAAAAGGCAGGGATTAGGAAAGGGAAAATGGTGTCGGACAGTAGAGACATGAAAGCATTTCCTGTGAAATAGTACAGTAAGGGGAGGGAGTGGATACGGTCGACAATGACAAGAAATGAAATCGGGACAGAGATTCGGGCAAGCGTAGCAGAAGGAAGATTAGACAGCTCCACAGCTTGCTTATTTGTAGCTAAATTTGTTTGCAAAAGACACGTGTGTGATAGTTGCTGCAGGTTGCTGCCTTAGAACATTTAGAAAACATTCCTAATTTTTGTAGGCGGTGGACTTTGGAACCAGCGTTTCATAGGTTAAAAAAAAAGGTGTGGCACTCTAAGAATAAAACTCATCTTCTAGACGTGCCCAGAATTTAGATGCTCCAAGAAAAACATTTAGTGAATTATTTTTTAAGAGAAGTCCTCCAAATTTGCAAGGCAAGAATGTGTTCAAAGGCATGCGTGCATAGGATAGCGCATTGAAACATTCTTATGCTGGCTGTGCCCGTGTGACACCCCGTTTCTCACTGTAACCGGAGCGGCACAACCCCGAGTGGGACCCTATGACGCAGTGAGCGCTTGCTGGCATGCACAGAGGCACAGGACAGTCTGCAGCCAGCTGGTGCTCCAACGGGGACACCGGGGGTCGAGGTGCCTTCACGAGCGTGCTGGGTCATGAGCCAGCCCCGCCTCCCTTCCCCCCACAACATCCAGGCACGTAAATGTGATCTGACTGGGCCTGGCGTCTTTACCCCTCAAGCCGCTGTTCTCACGTCCGTGTGCCTTCATGCTTCCAGCATTCCAGGGGGCAGACGACTGCCCCTCCCAGTATCAGAGGCACGTTGTGATTAACTACAGCCCTGCTGCACGTTAACTTTGAAAACGGGGTGTCTCCACGCTGCCTTAAAAGAAACGCTGTGCATCGCAAGGAATTCCTGGTGGTCTCTTACCCAGACCCAGCATTCGGAGTCATTTATACGTAGCTGGGGGTACAGCAATGATCTGATGGTGTGTGTGTGTTTTTCTTTTTTCAATCTTAGGTGAACTATTCCATTTAACTTGATATTGTATATTAAAAATATGTATTATAAGGCCACTGGGGCATGGAACAATGCTGGTGCCTCATGATTGTCCAGTAAAGACCAAGAAAGGTTGCCAAGGGCCTTGGTTTCATAAAGGTGTCAGTAAGCAGGACTGCGTCCTAGGAGGGAAATGTCCCTTGACTGCGGCCCTTCATTTACAACCCAGAGCAGGTAGTTCGGGCACGTTTGAGAAGGATGGGGGGGAAAATACTCTTTTAGTGTCTTTTGAAATTTTGCATATTGAATCACGGTGGCTGTTGTCTGGAAAAGTGAGGATGGTTAAAACCGGGGTTTTTGTTGGGAATGCGGAAAAAGCAGGGGCACGTTCTCATGCTTGCCTCCTTCTCCGGTGTGAGGAGACGGGAAAGGCGTCGCCTGCAGTGTTTGTCTGGGTGCGAGAAACATGAAACCTCCATCCAGACACTTGTCCTCAGCCGTGTTCAGAGTGGAGGCTCACACAGTGGCAGTGGCAAGGACACCACTGCTTTTCCCCGGGACACGCCGGTGCTCTGCAGCCACACTCACACACCAAAACACGCGTCCGAGACGCCGCAGGCGCGGGGCACGGGCAGTGGTGGGGGGAGGTGCCGACCTGTCCCTTTGCCCTCCTCGCAGTCGGGAGCCACCCCACCAGGTCTGCAGTCCAGATTTCCTTGGCCCACACCACAGGAAATATCGCAAAGATAAAGGAGGGCTAAGGAAGCCAACCAAGACTTGAGATGTAAGTTCAAGTGACTGCAAAGTAAAAGGAACAGATGGGCAAGGCTGTGGGCAGCAGAGCGTGGGGGGGCCCTTTGCAGCCTGGGACCACCTGAGGAAGGAAAAAAGGGGCAGAGCTACACATGCAGGGAGTTTCTTCCTCCTTTGCAATCACAACCGGAGAAACACAAGACCCCTGGGAAACCACTGAAGTCGTGCAAACCTCTGCTTAAGGCGTCAGAAACGTTTAAATCCGAGCCACGAAGCTGGGCTCTGCCATTTGGGTACTGAGTCCATTGGATGTGAAACCAAACCTTTCTACCAGCTTTCAAATGTATATGCGTAACATTAGCTAGTAGCTTCTTTCCAAGATACACAAAGGGCTCTGCAAACCGAAACTCACAGAAGTTCACAGAAGTCACATCAGACAGGGGGCAACCAGGATGCAGACACTCCCACGTGGGAACAGGGAAGGCCGGACGTGTTCAGCTAGCGCGGCCGGGTGGCCTCAAGGCCGCTGAAAGAGCCCCAACGCTCTGGTGTGACCCCTGCGTTGACAGACGGACGAAACAGACCCCGAGGGGCCGGAAGCCCAAAGCCATGCAGCTGGGCTCTGGGCCCGGTCAGGTCTGCAGGCCCCTGGGTGCCTGCCCCCAGCACGCACATGCCCACACCCCCCGGCCCCCCCCACACCAGTGCATGCCATTTCTGCCGTGCTGCGGTGGTTTTTGTCTCCTCCTCTCCCATCCGGTGGCTCCTAGATAATGGGACTGAAAGATTAAGACCTCCTAACTTCCATCCGGGGCTCTGCCTGTTTGTTGTCTGTGAATCTTCTCTCTGGGGGCCTCTTCTCCCCCAGATCGCTTTGCCTGTAAGGCGTGAGCGCTTTTTTTAGCTTTTATCTTTGCCTTTCCGTGGACTTCACAATACTCCCCCTGAGCAGCCAATGGGAAAAGTGTAAGCTGAAGGAATATTTTTTCGTGGGACTTGTTCAATGCTGACGATAGAATGCGCAAATCAGTTTCATCCCACATTTTACATAAATATACACGTTTATTATATGTGTACCTATACCTATATTTACAAATACACAGGGTAGGGCAGAAGTAGGTTTACAGTTTTTTGTGTGGAAAATAATACAATAATTAATAAGTAATAATACAAGAATAAGCTGTTTTGCATACTCACAACTGTAAACCAACTTTTGCCCACCCTGTGTGTGTGTGTGTGTGTGTGTGTGTGTAAGTAGGTGGTGAGTGTGTATAACTGATCAGCTGATGCTGTCTATTTTGATGGTTGTAGCCAGGACACAGCCATGTGAAATTAAGATTTTCCCATTTACTTTCTAACAATCCCAACAGTTAACAAGATGTTGTTATGTACAAGCCACCACGGCCACACAGGTGCCGTGGAAGACCAGAGAGGGGAGGTGCTGGCCCCCCTTTGAGGGGGTCCCCGGTCTGTGAGCAGCGCGGGGCCACTGCAACGCAGAACCTCACCAAGGCCGCCCGCCCGCCCGCCGCAGCAGCGCGTGCTGGCTCACGTGCGCCTTGGATCGCAGGCAGTAACAACGGAGCGTGGCCGAAGACCCTGGACGTGGCACAGAGCCACACAGACCCCGCCCCAGCCACGTGGCGCCATATCTGTGCATTAATCACACAAGTCGGACCGGGCAGGCGTGGGAGCAGAGGACCTCGCGTCCCCGCCAGTTAACCAGATGTTGCCCAAGAAAAAGGCATTCGGGAAAGTTGTGACATTGCAGCATTTGGCCAAAAGCAATGATCGTGTGTGCAGCCTCCTGCGATTGCAGCTCATTAATAATTCACAGTAATGGGGGTTCCAACTTACACTTAACTGCTCGACAAAAGGCTCCGGTCGCACTGACCACTGCTTTATGTAACGTGGCCGTGATTAACCTGCCGGGCGGTCGTTTCCCGGGGCTCGCGGGGGGAGGGGCTCGGAGCGGTTCACAGCGACGTCACGTCTCCCACCTTCCTGTCGGCCTCGCAAACTTCAAAGCAGACACGTTTGGGTCTTTTCCTTATCAGTTGCTCGAGTTTACAAAACGTAATTGAAAAGGTTTTGAACAAATGCCAGGCTGTCCTCCTGCTTAATGAAACCTTTTTAAAGGAGCAGTTAATCTACTGCCTTGCACTCGTACCCAAGAAGTTGCTAAATTAATTTGCTGACATCGAGAATCAATCACCATAAACGGTGTTTAAACAATAGCGGGGACGCCAAAGGGTAATAAGGCGCCGGCGCTGGACCGCCGTGATTTATCTCATCGCCGTGTCTGTGTCCCCGCAGGTTAACGGCAGGAACCTCCTGTCCGTGGACTTTGATCGGACGACGAAGACGGAGAAGATCTACGACGACCACCGTAAGTTTCTGCTGAGGATCGCCTACGACACGTCGGGGCACCCGACCCTCTGGCTGCCGAGCAGCAAGCTGATGGCCGTCAACGTCACCTACTCGTCCACGGGCCAGATCGCCAGCATCCAGCGGGGCACGACCAGCGAGAAAGTAGATTACGACGGGCAGGGGAGGGTCGTGTCGAGGGTCTTCGCTGACGGTAAAACGTGGAGCTACACGTACTTGGAAAAGGTATGTTGGCGCACGCACAGCGCAGAGAGAGACGGGCGATGCCTGGTATTTGTCAGCAGTCTCCGGGAGCGCTGCTGGGGGGGGGGGGGGGGGGGGGAGTGACATGTGACTGAGTTCCATTCATTATTCTAAGCATCGACGTGTGAGGCACATTCGTGCCGCCATGATGGATCTCTGCATTAGCGAAGTGCTTTCCCCTTAGTTCAGCTCTGCTGTCTGAGGCCCTTGTGAGTGATGTACTCGGTAAACAAACAAGCAATAACACTGTCCACCTGCCAAGCGTCGACACGGGCCGCATTCACAAATTAGGCCTGGGGCGTGTAAGTCGTTTGTAAATCATCTCTGCGCCGAGTCCTTCGTGGAAGAGAGAGCCTCACGTTCGCACGGGAAAGCCGTCCGGGTGGCGCTGTGGCCGCAGAGCTTCAGCGTGACCGTGCAGAGTGTGTGTGGGCCCTGTGCGTGCATTATCAACCAAAAGAGGCCACTTTTTTAGAAAGCCACGCTTCCAGACCTCTGTGGCATCTCTCCTTCATCCGCACAGAAAAGGCAAACGTCCTAGCTTGGGATTTTTTTCTCTCCCATCCTTAAGAACCGTGAACAATACCAAAGCAGACGTCAAGGTCCAGGAGTGCGAAATGTGTGGTCGTACGGTGCGTGGTTTGGGGCAGAGACTGGGAGGCAGACGGAGTGAAGGGAAAGGAAGGAGAGGGAAAGGGTCGTCTCCCCGTAATTCCTTTCCTAAAAAAATACAACCCACCTAAGAGCACATTCATGGGGTCCTTCATTGGCCTTTGAAACGCACGTGAGCCCTGGAAAACGATTTGGTTTTGAGTTCCGCCGCCTCTCACACCTCAGAGCGCTCACCACCACGACAGCAGCCTGCGTGACACTCTCAGCTCTGGACGCTCACTGCCTTCACGCTGGCTCGTTGCACACAGGGTAGCTTCTGCCGCCCAAACCCTCACTCCCGCATCACTGTGCTCAGCTCACGCAACCTGGGTCTCCGGCAGAGGTGGGCCCCGCCGCCCCGCAGCCCCGCAGCCTCGCAGCCTCAGCCCCGGCCCTGCGCTGGGGCCGTCCCGTCAATTGTGGTCTCCCTGAGAGCCAGTGTCAGCTCCGCAGTTCACGGTCAGATGCTGCTGTCTTCAGGCGGCCCCCCCAACTCCAGATGCCGCCGGCGAGGACCCCACTCGCCAGCCTCTCCTCTTGCAAACCCACTGATGTGCTCTCCTTGGAAGAGACTCAGCCCTGAGACGAGGGACCACGCCTGTGTCCCGACAGCTGCCGTCCAGGCTGAGCAGCCTGCTGCACAGCTGGTCACTTCACCAGTCCTTTGTTGAGAGACCACAGAGAGAGAGCCCCCTGCACACACACCTTCCTGGGAGCAAATCCTGACGCCGAGAAAGTAGTTCCCCTCCAGCCAGGAGGAGAGGCTGGGAGAGGACCAGTGTTTCCTTCCGGAACACCGCTCCCAGCTGGAACCCATGACAGGGAAGAGAACCAGGAACGAAAATGTCCAGACCCCCAAAATTGATAGTGGTGATCATCATGGGACTGGAAAATATCTAAGGGCAGCAAGAAGCATGTCACCTTCACACATCAGTGGGGGTCAGAAAAGCCAGCAGGTACATACTCATCCTGTCTCTGAAACCCCTAAAGTCCACACACACTACCTCCATGTCCTGGCCAGATGAGGCACACTAAGCCGAAACTTAATCATAGCAAAACAAGTAGTGTCTCACTATCCACCATCTGATGATGGGACTCTAAGTGATTGTGAAACTGCGTACTGATTCCCGAGAATCCAGCAACAGTCCCAGCCCCCTTGGGAGAACGGGAACTACGGGAACCAGGTGCGGGGCACCAGGCGTGCCACCTGCACACGGAAGAGCCCTAGATGCGCCCACAGGGGAGACGCTGCGGGGGCGGGTCCCGCGGGCTGCTGTGCGAGATGGTGCCCAGTGGGAGAGAAAGCACGAGCCTTGGGCAGTTCGACGTCACCGGCAAAGCAGAAGTCCTGGGAGGGCCACTGACCCAAGCATCCTCCGGTTCTGTGGTCCCTCCTCGTGTTCTGACGGGGTGCAGAGGAAGCTTCCCCGAGGGAACACCCCTGTGCTCTGTGGGCCTGTCGGGCTGTCTCGACCGGCCACCTCATCTGGGCCTCATAAGTGCCTGTCTTTTGTCTTCCTGCAGTGGCGTGCAAAATAAGCAAAGCTACTTTTTATTTATATATTTATTTGTTTCATAATTTAGCACCAAAGCAGTGTATATAGTCCAGAAACCATTTTTACAGCACCTGCTGTGTAGAGTGGGTTTGGTACTCACAAAAGGAAATTTCAGAACGTGGATTTCATCGCCATCACAGATGCCATCCAAGAATGCAATGTGCAAACAGACCTGACCGGCGTGGCTCGGTGAGCTGGGCATCATTCAGTGAAGCGAAAGGTCGCCGGTTTGATTCCCAGTCAGGGCACGTGCCTGGGTTGCAGGTTCGGTCCCCAGTCAGGGCACATATGAGAGGCAGCTGATCAATGTTTCTCTCCCTCTCTCTTTACCGTCCTCCCCCTCTCTCTAAAAATAAAATCTTTTAAAAAATTTTGCAAACAAACCAAAAAAAAGAGACACATCCGGGTTCATATTTCTATTAAGGGCATTTACAGCTCTCGCTCACCGCGGGATTCATTTAGTAGTATTTGCTGACATTGATGCTTTATGTGCACAGTATCCATTTGGGGCTAATTTTATGTCTCTTCTTCGTAAAATAATATTTTGAACGCTCCTCCCCCAAATCCTCTGAAAATTAAAACATGATTTGAGAGGCTCTTCAATCAAATGAGGGGGAAAAGCCCCCTTACTCGGTAACTGCTGCTTGTGGGTGGCGGTGCCCCTCCCACAGACTCCCTCCTCTGCAGTACTGTCCCCGGAGCCACTTTGCCCGCGCCCCCTTCCGACCCGTCCAAGTTCATGGACGATCTGCCGCCTGGCTGCGAGGGCCCGGAAATGGATAGGCTGGTCCCGACAAGCGGCACGTTCTGAATCTCGAGCCACTAATTGTAGAACCCCTCCCAATTAAGCATCCAAGAAAATCAGGCAGGGAATCGTCGGCAGCGTGTAAGGTCGAGGATAACTCAGTTAAAACGAAAAGCATTTTCTCGAGCGTCTCTGTGGTCACTGACCCTCCTCTGGCCTCCCCCGCTCGCAGACAGCGGCTAACGGTGCGCTCTCTCTGTCTCGTTGCAGTCCATGGTCCTGCTGCTGCACAGCCAGAGGCAGTACATCTTCGAGTACGACATGTGGGACCGGCTGTCGGCCATCACCATGCCCAGCGTGGCCCGCCACACCATGCAGACCATCCGCTCCATCGGCTACTACCGCAACATATACAACCCCCCCGAGAGCAACGCCTCAGTCATCACCGACTACAACGAGGAGGGGCTGCTCCTGCAAACGGCGTTCCTGGGCACGAGTCGGAGGGTCCTGTTCAAGTACAGAAGGCAGACCAGGCTCTCGGAGATTTTGTACGATAGCACCCGAGTCAGCTTCACCTATGACGAAACAGCGGGAGTCCTGAAAACAGTGAACCTCCAGAGCGATGGTTTCATTTGCACCATTAGGTACAGGCAGATCGGCCCCCTGATCGACAGGCAGATCTTCCGCTTCAGCGAGGACGGGATGGTCAATGCGCGGTTTGACTACAGCTACGACAACAGCTTTCGCGTGACCAGCATGCAGGGTGTCATCAATGAAACGCCACTGCCCATTGATCTCTATCAGTTCGATGACATTTCCGGCAAAGTGGAGCAGTTTGGGAAGTTTGGGGTTATCTACTACGACATTAACCAGATCATTTCCACCGCGGTCATGACGTACACGAAGCACTTCGACGCTCACGGCCGCATCAAGGAGATCCAGTACGAGATCTTCAGGTCGCTCATGTACTGGATTACAATCCAATACGACAACATGGGCCGGGTGACCAAGAGAGAGATCAAGATCGGGCCCTTCGCCAACACGACCAAGTACGCGTACGAGTACGACGTGGACGGGCAGCTGCAGACGGTCTACCTGAACGAGAAGATCATGTGGCGCTACAACTACGACCTGAACGGGAACCTGCACCTGCTGAACCCCAGCAGCAGCGCCCGCCTCACCCCTCTCCGCTACGACCTGCGGGACCGGATCACCCGGCTGGGCGACGTGCAGTACCGGCTGGACGAGGACGGCTTCCTGCGCCAGCGGGGCACCGAGATCTTCGAGTACAGCTCCAAGGGGCTCCTCACGCGCGTGTACAGCAAGGGCAGCGGCTGGACGGTGATCTACCGCTACGACGGCCTGGGGAGGCGCGTCTCCAGCAAGACCAGCCTGGGGCAGCACCTGCAGTTCTTCTACGCCGACCTCACGTACCCCACGAGGATCACGCACGTCTACAACCACTCGAGTTCGGAAATCACCTCCCTCTACTACGACCTCCAGGGGCACCTCTTTGCCATGGAGATCAGCAGCGGGGACGAGTTCTACATCGCGTCGGACAACACGGGGACCCCGCTGGCCGTCTTCAGCAGCAACGGGCTAATGCTGAAGCAGATCCAGTACACCGCGTACGGCGAAATCTACTTCGACTCCAACGTGGACTTCCAGCTGGTCATCGGGTTCCACGGGGGCCTGTACGACCCGCTCACGAAACTAATCCACTTCGGGGAGAGAGATTACGACATTCTGGCAGGGCGGTGGACCACGCCGGACATAGAGATCTGGAGGAGAATCGGGAAGGACCCAGCTCCTTTCAACCTGTACATGTTCAGGAATAACAACCCTGCGAGCAAAATCCACGATGTGAAAGACTACATCACAGGTGAGCGCCCTTTTCCTTCCTTTCCCGGGGCCGGGTTGCTCTGACCCTTAGATTAATACGCAGAGTAACTGGAGTTGCTTTCTCCAACTTGATAACTTCACTCAGGCAGAATCAAATGCCTAACTTCTTACGTGGTTTTCTCTGTGGAACCATAGGGAAACCAAAAAGGAAACAGACATAGTTTGTTACTTCCTGTTCTGCTTGCCAGTGCCCACGGCCACATTTTCTGAAATGACAAGGAACCCAGTCCCTTCAGGGAAGTGACACGTGCAGGTGCAGAAAGACAGACCGAACTGGGAGTCCCCAAACTGGAGTTCATGGCCCACCTCCTCTCCCACGAGTCGTGTGGCTTTGTAGACAAATCCTGGTGCCTCTGGTGGGAACAATCGGTGTGAAACGCGACACGGTGTGGGTCGCAGTCTCCTCCCCGGGAGGCGTGTCGTGCTCTCTGCACCACCGCCACCTCCGGACAACAAAGGAGCCGTTCCTCCCACGAGCTGCTCAGACGCCTATGCTGTTTCTGTCCTCACTTCTGTCCTCCTGTCCTACCGTCTTCACTGCCGGGTGGTGCAGTTCTGGCGTACTAATGGGCACACTAATTGCCCTGCCAACAAGGGGTAGTTTTCGGGATACAGATTTAAGCTCTTTCCAAGTTTAGTGCATGATTCAGTTGAAAACATCAGGTCCCACTTCCGCCACCGCGGAACAACTGGGATGCGAAACAGCAACAAGGTCCCCGCGAGCAGGACCCTCGTTTCCTTGAGTAGCTGACTTGTCTTGCTGCTCCTCCGCCAGGCCTCCTCCCTGACCCCGCCCCCAGGACCCTGGATCCTTCCGCGTCCACCTTTCGTTCCAGAACCACAGGGCCACCGTTCACCGTCGAACTACGTTAATGTTTCCTGGAGGAAGGGTCTTTCCTATTTTCTTTTTGTTTGCTCTTCATTTGATTTAGTTCACGGTTTTTTCCATTGTGCCTTTTGCTCCTTGGGCGGTCTCTTTCCTTGCTCGGCATTTGCGGTGCGCCGAGGTGCCTGCTTTCTCAGGTCCCCGCACACCTCCCAACACGCCGCCCCCTGGCCCTTGCACGTCCGCCCCCTGCGTTTCCGGACTTCCCGGGGCTTTCGGCCCTCTCCCTTCCGTGTGAGCCAGCTGCGCGCCCCTTCTCGCGGGACCCTAATCCGGCGCCCCCTAGGGCATTCTCCCTCGTGCCTTTTCGGCACAAACCTGCTTCACGTCCCAGCATTCCGGCGGTGCTTTCTGTTCAATACTTAGGACCCTTCGATTTTCACTGTTACCCCGACACCATTCGTAGTGGGAGGGCCCTTGCCTCCAACGTTCCAGCAGCCGTGAGCGTTTTCTCCCAACACTAGACAGACAGACATCTCTTTCTATCATCCTACATGACGAACTTGGGGGTCTTCTCTCCCCACCACCCCGACCCCCATTTAAGAGAGCACCACTGATTTGAGAGCCACAGGATGCCTGCACAAAGGACCTGCCAGCCTGGCGACGAGGTGAGAGCCCGTGCCCCGAAGAAGGAAAGAGGAAGCAGGCAGCTCTCCATCACTCTGACAAGCGGTTCAACACGGGTTATTTAAGAGGTGTTGACAGGGGCTGCCTGGAAGGCGGGAAAGCCCGCAGCTCCCGAATCCGTCCTCTCCTAGCAACGGGGGCTGCAGGGAACGCCACAGCAGCATTTTCTGAGCAACATCAAAAGAGAGATGGAGCAGCATAAAATATATTAGGTGAAATGCAATTTCAAATTTTCCAGCAATGTGCTTAATATATAAAATCATCTACACCCAACCGTACTCATAAAGCTGCAGGCCCGCTGAGCAGTTCTGCAACATTATAACCTCCAGAAGAGAATAAAAGCCTTATTCTGAGCTTAATGGCTTCTGGAGTCACATGGCAATATTTTAGAATACCATTTTAAAGGTTTCTAGGTTTTCTTCCCCCAAAAGTTTGTTTCCTTCCACCTGTGCACAGGGAACCTTTTAAGTCCTAACTAATGACAGTCAGAAATCCGCGCCCTGGGCCACTTTTGCCAGCTTTCAGCATCCACCTTTGATTAAGTACCTGCTGTTGATTTTAATCCTCTCAATTTAGGGTCTCTATTAAGAGAAAATGGGTTGCGGGGCTCTGCATGTCCTCGGGCAGCTGCTTTTGAAAGACAGTAACGCACCCCTTCGTTCTAAGACTGGTTTTTACTAACTACAAAACAAATTGCATCTGCTTCCAACAACTATGGCTCTTTCCTGCTGCTGCGCATTGTCAATGCCTTTCTTCATCACTTTTACTAACATGGGATGCGGCGCCGCACTCGTGAGTGTATTTGGTCTGTCTGCGTGAGTATCTCTTCTTACTGTGCGTGTTCTGTAGCCCCTGACCTAGTTACTGAGGTTATTGTCTCCGTGTCTAAAAGTGGAGAGAGGGTGTTACATTGTCGGGGCAAACCTGCGCTCTGTTTCTGGTTCTTGTTTGTGAACCCAGGTTCTCTTTCAGGTAAGAATTTAAATTTAGGAAAGCACAGAATAACTCTAACACCTCTCCCGTGGAACATTCTTCTCCTAGATGTTAACAGCTGGCTGGTGACATTTGGCTTCCATCTGCACAATGCTATTCCTGGATTCCCGGTTCCCAAATTTGATTTAACGGAGCCTTCTTATGAACTTGTGAAGAGTCAGCAGTGGGATGATATACCGGTAAGAAACAAAAAGCAAAACTAGGAAAAGGTGATAAATGGCTTACATGTATCTCCTTTACCCATATTTAATCAAACTACCCTTGTGAAAACTGTACCAAAGACAGTTTTTAATTTTTTGGACTCTTTTTGGGAAGAAAAACGACACTCCTCTCTGCATTTCTGTTCAGCAAACCAGGGGCCAATGAAACAGGCTTGAATCTGTTTTCAGTGATGCAAATAAAGGCATAGAAAGACATTATCAACAGTTAATAAAATGCAGAAGCCCTTTTTTTTTAGTGCACGGTTTCTACAAAGAACCCCATGAAACCGCATTTTTGGCCCTGGGCAGCTGAATGCAAGGATACAATAAACAGGAAGGCAGGGGATCCATATTACAAATTACCAGCCCACAAACAATGCCACAAAGCTCACCTTTAAAAAAAAAAATTCACAGCGTTTCACGGGAAACAATTAAAAATAAAATATAAGGCTCCCACTACAATGAAGCGCTTATGGAATTGTCCTGAAAATAACAGATCAGGAGGCCTATAACTGTTCTGAGAAAAAAAAAGGAAAGAAATAAAGAATGGAGAATTGCAAAGTCAAAGCTGCCATTTATTTCAGAAAATGGTACTTTTAATTCCCACCATTCAAAGATCAGAAAGGAAAGCACAACAAAACACCAGAATTTCTAGCTTAAAGCAAGAATCATTAAAGATCAAGAAATTGGGTTACTCCGTAATGATAAGACGAGGGTGCAGAGTTTCTTAGAAGAAAGATTAATTCTCCCTCCCCTTGAGCAATTCCCTGTCATTTCGATGAATATAAGGAGAAAAGCCAACCGTGTCTACAACACGCAGCACATATACAGTATCACTACCCCTGTGTTCTGGTACACGTTTCGTAACATAAAAGCAGTTCCTTTTTCAGATGTCATCTTTACATTTAAAAAGCAAAACCCATCAGTGTCCTGGGCCTGGGAGCCATTTTCACATTTCTGATGGCAAACATTGTCTACACTGATAACACACCAGGAAGACACACTGAAGCTTCCTGATGCATTTGGAGAAGCACCTCCTAACTGTGTATGACTTTCCAACACGTTTGAAAACATCTCAGTCTTACTGTACAACCGGAATTGCCAACTTCTTTCCCAGGCAGCCTTTGAAATAGGGTTCAGGTTCTCTGGCAAGAGACACGCACCATAAGGACAGCCTAGGGGAGCGCTGGCGAAGACACGGAGGCTGCCCCGAGTTCACAGAAACAAATGTTTCTCTCACTGCTGCAAATGAAGCAGATGTTTCCATTTGGAAAACACCGGGCAGACAAACATCTGGGAGTGTAAGAAAAGGGCTGAGTTAAGGGGCCCCCAATTTAAATCATCCACCAGTATCACTGGTGCCCTGTCCCTAAGTCTCCAAAAAAAACACTGTTTTCCCAAAGTCTGACAATAAACACAGTCCCCAGCTGTCCCTCTGTGCACTCTTCCTCGTTCATTTCCGTTCTGCTCGCGAAATTCGGCTGACGTTGTGTCCACCCGGAGAGGGTGCAGCCTTTACCTCCATTAAAGCACGAGCACTTCAAAGCATGTGCGGTGGGAGGCAGCGATCTGGCCCCCAGCGATCTGGCCCCCAGCACCCAGCCTCTCCAAGCCTGGGTTTGCTGTGTACCGAAAGCTGCTGGGAGGAAGGACCAGATGACTTGGGTTCTCCAAATGGGACGGACGTAGGAAAAGGGCATCTAGAAATTGAAAGGAAAAGAGCTAAAAACATGACTTTCCTGCCCGTGTTAGACACGGAAAAGCTCTGCACTAGTACGTGATGGAGCTAGTTACCTCATTTTACGTTTCAAAACACATTTGGATCAGCCTGAGGTGTGGGCATCTTGAGTGCATTTCTCCACGCAGGGTTCTCTAAGCCTTTTCATCTCTAAAGCACCGATGGAGGTTTTAATAAATGCCCTGGAGCTCTCCACCCAATACCCTCTCCCCGTTTTGTTAGGAGTGGGAGGGCCGCCAGGAAGCCGGGCTCCCGGCAACTGAGAGCTACAGCTGTTCTCTAACCGCCCCGCCCCCATTCTGTTCTGCTTCCCTTTCCAGCCCATTTTCGGAGTTCAGCAGCAAGTGGCGAGGCAGGCCAAGGCCTTCCTGTCCCTGGGGAAGATGGCAGAGGTGCAGGTGAACCGGCGCAAGGGTGGCGGCGCGCAGTCGTGGCTGTGGTTCGCCACGGTCAAGTCGCTGATCGGCAAGGGCGTCATGCTGGCGGTCAGCCAGGGCCACGTGCAGACCAACGTGCTCAACATCGCCAACGAGGACTGCATCAAGGTGGCGGCGGTGCTCAACAACGCCTTCTACCTGGAGAACCTGCACTTCACCATCGAGGGCAAGGACACGCACTACTTCATCAAGACCAGCACGCCCGAGAGCGACCTGGGCACGCTGCGGTTGACGAGCGGCCGCAAGGCCCTGGAGAACGGCATCAACGTGACCGTGTCGCAGTCCACGACCGTGGTCAACGGCAGGACGCGCAGGTTCGCCGACGTGGAGATGCAGTTCGGGGCGCTGGCGCTGCACGTGCGCTACGGCATGACGCTGGACGAGGAGAAGGCGCGCATCCTGGAGCAGGCGCGGCAGCGCGCGCTCGCCCGCGCCTGGGCGCGCGAGCAGCAGCGCGTGCGCGACGGCGAGGAGGGCGCGCGCCTCTGGACGGAGGGCGAGAAGCGGCAGCTGCTGAGCGCGGGCAAGGTGCAGGGCTACGACGGCTACTACGTGCTGTCGGTGGAGCAGTACCCCGAGCTGGCCGACAGCGCCAACAACATCCAGTTCCTGCGGCAGAGCGAGATCGGCAAGAGGTAACCCCGCCCCCTCGGGGACGGGGACAGCGGCGGGCGCCGCCGCGGCCCGCGAGCCGAACCCCACTTTGCTCAGATCTGTCTGTAGCACAATCCGTCTGGGACTCTCCGACACGGAAGAGCCTTCTGCGAGAATGATACCGCTATTTTAGAAAGAAAATCCACGGAAGAAAGAACAAAAACAGAACTCCTTTTCTGAATGACCTTAAAGGTGATCGGCTTTAAAGAATATGTTTACATATGCATATCGCTGCACTCAGTTGGACTGAAGGTACTAATAAAAGGAACAAATAATAAAAAGAAAGAAAAAAAAGGCCTAATCGTTTGCCCTGGGCCTTCTGTCCCTTTGGGGCACTGTATTTAACGAGGGTAAAGATGCCTCCGGTTCCAAATATTACCGAATTGTCGACCTTTGCTTACAAAGAAGTAGTGTCTGCATAGGATGTGATATATAGCTCTGTTCATTTTGCAATGTGGGGCGAAATTACAGTTTAGAGACGACCCAACTGCTTTCCCTGTGCTGCTTTGTAAAAGGACACGGGCACAAGTGACTTCTCCAAGGGGAAATCGTAATGCATTTTACGATGCTGTCGTGGTTTGCCGGGGGTGGGGAGGGGGTGGAAAACTGGCAGATACAACCCTTGTCACTGATAAGCAAAGGAACCCCTGATTTTTTTGTAAATTATGTGAGACAAGTTGTTTATGGATTTTTATATGAATTACAATTTACTGTACATCAAATATTAGTCTCAGAGGAGTTAATTTATGTAAAGTGTTTAAAAAGTTTATACTTAAAAATAAAATGATAAAAACATGTGAGCTGTGTGATTTTTTTAAAGGATTGCACCTTTTGTTACCTGTTATAGCTGTACAGTATAAATTATTATATTGTAGAGATATAACGACTTATGCCTATAATGTCCAGAAGTGTTAATATTTTTGTATTAGGTTGAGAAATGTGCAGCTTTCTATCGCTAAATGGATAGACAGTGCAATCCTAAGTGGGTGGCTATCCAGAGAATTGCCTCTTTCTCTTCCTTCTCTTTCCCATCAGACCACTGTCCTCATCAATATCAACCAAGAGGCACAGTAGGAATCTAAGGCTGGTGAAACGTATTGGGGGCGGGGAGCAGGCAGGGGGCGCTCCAGGTCCCCTCTCCGGGCCCTAGCAGTCAACGGGGAGTTGATATAATTTAACCACAGGGTCTTCACCGTTCCCTGAAGCTCCATTTCATGGCAGAGGCGAGAGATCCCATCAAATGCTCGGAGAAACTGGGAAGAAAAGGATCTCGTGTAGTCGTGACCTCATGGTCACGTGTCTTAAGATCTAGGAAAGATGGCAGAAACCCAGCAGTGGTGAGAGAGCCAAATGGAGTAGGTCAGGGTCACTCCGCTAGTCTTGGGTTTGGACCCTGGGGTCGCCAAGAGGGACAAAAAGGGGAGAGATGCTCCTGTGAGCCCACACGCCCCGGCCACCTTGGGAGCTGGTGCGAACGGCAGCCCCTGCTCTGTCGGGGAAGCTGGGGTGGCAGGTCCAGCCGACAGGGAGTTGACAGCGGCGTCCTCCTGCGCATGCGCGCGCGGGGCCCAGCCCAGACCGCCTACCCTTCCGCGCTGGTTCAGCCGCTCTCGCGAATCTCTTTCGTGAGCACTCAATTCAGCCACAAAAAAATATTTTTAGAAAATATTTCTCAGTTCATTGAGCTATAGTACACACTGTTTTCCTCTATGTATAATGGTGACAAAATATAGCAAGTGAACATGTCGTAAATATAAAGGTTCAAGTGATGTATTGAAAATAATTTTCTAACTGCTTTGTATGTATCACATACTCTAAATTGCACAGTAGGCGTGTTTATTAAACAGATTGGCTGGGAAAGTTTCAAGATAGCTACTGACTTTACAGTATCAGTGCTATTACTGTCTTTGTGTATTTGGTAGAGCATACCGAAGTAATTAATCTTCTAATGAATGCTGATATTTTATTAGAATGAAAGCACAGATTAGCATTAATATTTTTTATCCTGGAAGTCCTTTGGCAAGTATTAGGAAGCCCAAATTTAGGAAACTACGAGATTTCAAACCACATACACATGGCTCTGTTTTACGTTTTATTTTTTAACTGTTAACTTAGGTGTCTGCAGTTCTGTCCGATGGCATCTCTGCAGGAGTGTATTTAGCATGCTGTAAGTACTTTTGGTTGAAATAGGCTCTGAGTCTCAATTCTCAGAAATGTTCCTAATGTATTGACTATGAAAAGCTTGTACCACGTGGCAGAAGTGAAATCATAATCTTACCCTCTTCTTGACATGGACTGGTCCCTTCCACTGGCCCAGATACCAGATTTACAGTATCTCCTGGTGCTCATTTTAGATGAAGTCAAATCAACCCAATTAGTGTCTTGTTAGTAGGTCTAATGAGCCTATTTCTTTCTAAAAAGACTTGTGATCCGGACATGCTTTTACAAGAAATAGTGACCTTGGGGAATATGTAAACAAAAGACCTTTTTTTCTAAGAGTTCGGGGTGTGGGGGAACTGTATAATGAAAAGAATTAGCTTACAAAAAAAAAGAAATTGATATTCAAAGTATTTTAGGCAAAGCCAGTCAAAATGCTTTCATGATATTTTGAGATGTAAATTTTGTCTGATTTGTATTGTTCTTTTCATTTGCCTTCTTAACTTTATATGTGACCTGAATTTTCCATAACTTGGTGACTATAGGTTGCATCTAGGCATTCCAATAAAAGCCAACCCAATGTGTGTGTGTTCATGTTTTTTTTAAAAAAAAAAACAACCTCGGGCCAGCCAGGATTGCTTTCACGTGTGAGAGTGGAGGGTGCACATGCACGTGGTGCTTGGGGTATTGATTCACCTGCAGCCCAGCTGGGAACATCTTCTGTTTTGTTTTTTTCTTATGTCCGTGTCCACCGGCCCTCTCAGCAGTGCGCCCTCCACAGGGGACTCTCCCGTGGCCTACTTTAGAAAAATGTTCAATTACACCCCCACAAAGCCAAACATTATCACTGAAAAGAAGGGGAAAAAAATACTGCTTGAGAGCAGGCCTCGTTCCTGTGATCCTGGCAATATGTGCTCGATTAAAACACTTGATTAGAATAACCAGTGCGGGCCGATAGGCTCCCGGGCTCCCGGAGATGCCTAGCTCTGCGCGGAGACCAGCTGACTGGAGGTGGCTGGCTCAGCAGCTCCCGGCTGGCAGGCCAGGGCTGTGAGCTTAGTCTGAACCGGCAGCCTTCATCACACTTGCTCTGCAGTGACAAGCTCCACTTGAGAACATGTTGATCCAACAAGCATCGGGTCGCTCCACGTGGCAAACCGGTCTGTTTTTTTCCCTTCGAATCAGCCATCTGACACGCTCACACCGGGGAAATGCGGGGAAAGGCACGCGAATTCCTCCTTCCATTTTTCCTAGACCGCTCTCCTGAAAAGGGATGTCCGAACACATGGAAAGAAGAACACGGGAGGTAAACGCTGCCTATTAGTAGCGCGTTTTCTGGGCTGTCCTGCGGCCGCCTCTGGGGAATGCTGCGCTTCCGCTGATGACGTTCGCCTGACGTCACCGATTAGTGTAGACGTCACCGAGCAGTGTAGTCGCGCGGGGCTTTCAGTGCCCCCAGCTGAACCTAAGTCCCACACCCGGCTACAAGCACCTCGAGTCGACCCCGGTGCAAGCACGCCCATCCACGAGGAGAAAATCCCGCCTTCGGTGCACAGTGGAACCGGGCCCACGGCCCTCCCTGCTCGCCAGCTTTGCCTCCCCCCCCCTCTCGTCCTGGCCTGCTCCCAGGTGAAGCCGTTTCCCTCACAGGCTGCGCAGCAGATCAGCTGGGGCGCTTCTGAAGTGGAAGACTCCAGAAGGGGAAGCCTGGCAGACGCTGGTCCACAGCTTGTCTGTCTGTCTGTCTGTGGCAAAACCACGCGGGCAGCGCTCCCCACAGCTCACGTGCTGTGATACAGAGGAGCAGGAGGTCCCCAGGGCCCACGAACTGCCCCCCCAACCAGCCTTGAGTGCCATTAGAGCTGCAGAGCAGAGCGAGCCTGCCCTTGAGGAGCCTTGAAGGGCAGCGTGGCGCTGGCCCCTCCCCCCCACACCCAGGTCTCCCTGCCGCCGTCCTTCAGAGCGGTGAGCGGATTCCAGCACCGGGTCGGTCACAGGCAGCAAACTCCAGCAGCTGGAGCCGGGAGGACTTAGAGACGCGTGGGTGAGTTGTCCAAGTTCACAGACGCTGCTCCAGCCAAGGTGGGCAGAGATTTCCTATCGGCAAGTACCTTCCGCTCCGCGGTGTAGTCCAGGAAGGCTCCCCAGGAAGGGCCTGCGTGCTCCCTGCACCCCATTTCCTCAGAGCGCTTGGTCCTTCTGTGCAAAGCGGCCTGCGTTTAGAGGCGCAACATGCATTTTGCATAACTACAGATGCCCCAGGCACGTGTTTTGGGTTCCCCTCTGTCTGCTGGTATTCCTAGCTCCTTGGCCCCTCATCTTGGGTAAGAAAGCCTGCCATTCAATGTTGGTGACTTCATAATTTCTGAAAAGACTTTTAAAAGAAAAGATTTCATTCGTTTATTTTCAAAAAAAAAAAAAGGAAGGGGAGAAACATTGATCGGTTGCCTCATGCATGAGCCCCAACTGGGGGCAGGGCCTGCAACCCAGGTACTGGCCCTGACTGGGAGTCGAACCCGTGACCTTTCGCTTTGCGAATCTCGACAACGCTCAATCAACGGAGCCCATCAGGGCCGAAAAGACTTCTAAAGAAAGACTATTGATTTGCATCTATGTGCCGGGCTATTTAGGTAGATTCTCTGTAAAGTGCTCACCTGGCTTCGCTCATCCTACCAAACCAGTGACAAAATCAAGATTAGCTGTATGTCATTATTACCCATTTTCATGGGTGTTTACCCACAGAGTTAAGCCAGAGTACCAAAGAGGTAATGATAAGCCACCTGAGTTTTCTACCTTCTAATTGAAGTCACGTAATAAATACTCTCTCTGGCCAGCATTCTCCTTTGCTCTTCTCCGCCTCTGCAAGCAAGGGTCTCTTGATGTCAGTTAATTACCAGTAACTTGCAGATGAATTGAGTAACCCTTTTCATTTACAAACCAGCTTAAAATCCTGTCGTGGAGAAATGCAGGATTCCTACAGTCCTGAGTGTAGAGAATTTACTACACACTGATTCTAAGCCTAGAGTAACATCATTATTCAGTTTAGAGTTAATGGGTTCCACAAAGCAAATTTAATAAATCCTTCGGGGATCTAAGCTGAGGGAAATTAAAATTAGAAGCATAAATTGTGACTCCCAGGGCAAGTCAGTGGCTTGGTTACGGCCGGGTCTCTCTGCTTGTTGGGCGAGCTGTGAGTTGAGGAAGGGAAGTGGCCTTCTTCTACACGCGGGCAGGGATGTGCTGAATTCCGCCCGCACACACGGCCGTGTCCATACAGCGCAAGTCACTGTGCATAAGGACCGACAGGGTTTACAGATGGTGCATGGGGACCAAATGAGTTCCTGGACATTTTCACAAGTCAACTGCATCAGCGGGGTGAGGGGGTCGCAAATACCCGAGGAGTGGAAGGGATGCGTTATTTACGTGGCTGCAAAATGGCTGGAGATGGGACGGCTCACGGAACTCTGTCTTCCACCTGGAGTTCTTATCGCATGAGAGATTAATGACCGTGGAAGTACAGAAACTTCCCTATCTTAAATTTCCATCCAAAGTTAATTATCAGGAGATTCTCCCCCAAGATTCCTGTCTCTACACCCAGGATGGCTTGCTCTCTCTCTCTCTCCCCCCCCTCCTCTCTCCCCCCCCACCTCCCTCCCTCCCTCCCTCCCTTACGGGGATTTATCCTGGGGGAAGCAGTCTTGGCTGCAACTGCTCAGGTGTCTAATCACATATCTCTCTCAGGCTTAGGAGAAAACCCACAGGGCTCCCTTGGTAGACCAGATGGACTTCAAATAATTACCCGGGATATCACAGGAAATGAGAGTCCTTTGTCCCTGGCTTATTTACAAAAGGTTATAAACAAGCAGATTTAAAATCTCCAGCTATGACATTATTATATTTCCAGGTTCCACCCTGCAGTGGAAAAAAAAAAAAAAGATGAAGAAGCAGGCCTATAGAGTTCATGCTTCAGGCCCCGCACGGACAAGTGTCCCTTGAAGGACACAGGGAACGCAGGAATGGCCGGGAGAATGTCCTGGCGCCGGCACTGGGGAGAGGGGGTGGCACAGAGCACAGCACCTTCCCTTAGGGTGGCCCTCCCTCCAATCTCTGGGGATCCAGCGCCTGCAGGAATGAAAAAACATCCTATCATCTGAGGGCCCGGTGGACAGGCAATCCCAACCAGGGTCCCCGGCTGAGAGTCCTTGGGGGCAGGGCCCCGTGGTACCACGTCCCTCCCTGCAGGGCACAGCACTGTCCCAGCCGCGTCCGGGAAGGGCTCCAGCGCCCCCTGGCGATGAGCATCGGTGGAGAAGCAGCCGCACCCAAAACTGCGGACACCGCTTGCTCAGGCTGCCCTGGGCCCCTCTCCTTGGCGGGGCCAGTGCCATCAAATGGTTACTTCTGCTCCCTGCACCCCCTCAGGCCTGCTCCTTGCAAAAAATCGCTCCTCCCGGAACATCTCCCTTCATGTCAAGCAGAAACTTTGTCAGACAATGTTCCTCCCGCTCAGCCGATCAAAATAAGGCCCTTCCTCCCAGGAATTGTCCGCCGGCCACCGGAGTTTTGCAGCCCTGAAAACAGTGATTTCTGAACTATCACATTGTCTCCCTTCTGCTTTTCATGTGTGAACAGTCCTGTCACTCGGAAGAATTTCCCGGAAGGACAGATCATTTAAATTCAGAGCGGCGTGTCATTTCTGAGGGGGCCGGCCTCTCGGGCTGAGTGCCGGAGCGGCAGCCTGGAAAAGCGAACTCCCTCCTGACTCTCCGGGCAGCCGAGGCCTCCAGCCTCCGCGGGGCCTGCCCGCCCCTTGCCCCTGCCCCCGGCGGTCCCTCGTGGGCCCAGCCCGGCCTGGCCACTGGAGGAGAGAGTCCAGGATTCAACCTCGTGATCCCAGCTCATCACCCAGAGGAAGCAACGGAAGCGACTCGGCAGGGGCAGCCTGCACTGTCACTTCTGGAGGCTCAGGGGGACCCATTTTTCTCACCCAAGTTTTCACGGGAATGAGAAAGAAGACCAGAGTTGGCACATTACAGCCAAATATCATCTTAGATAAAGGCCAAGTTGTAGGAAGTACACCCTGTGGTCCCGCCTGCCTCTGCACCTGTAGCCCCAGCACGGCCCTTTCTCTGGTGCCCCTGGGCCCAGGTGTGTCACCTGCAGACTCAGCGGGCCACACTCACCTATGACAGTGTCCCTTCCTGTGAGCGCTGTCCTGGACAGAGCCTGTCCTGGCTGATGGAAGGAGTGGCCACTCTGCAGTCCCCCAGCCCACGCCCACACGCGAGGGGCTGCAGGCAGGCGGGTGCCCTTCCCACAGGCCCCAGCGCTCGGGGGCAAGCACCACACCCCATTGACAGAGTGTGGCCTGTGACCAGCCTGCGGGCATTCCCGCAGCAGGAACGGAGAGCCTCTGCCCCGAACTGGTCCTCCTTCTCCTCCTGGGATCTGTTTCTGGGAAATGGCACCACCATCCTGCCTGCCTGCCACGCGGGCTGGAGTTCTCAGCGTCACCTTGTCCCCTTCACTGAATCAGTCACCAGGTCCCACGGATTCCTTCCAGAAGGCTTGGGGGCG